AGGAAGGAAGGAAGGGAGAGGCTGTGAGTCACAAAAGTGAGATCATGTCTTCACTCACTGGCTTTGGAACGGCAGGTGGGATTTCAGGCATCCAGTGAGGAAGGCCTGAAGCCTTACTGAGTGAATGGTAAATATTCTTCCCCCAGCTACGGAGCCAGGCCTGAGGGAAGGGTAGAACTCTACTCCCCTCTCTCCACAGCCACAGAACCAGGCCTGAGATGAGCCTGGAGTGACGATCACCTGCCCTGATTACGAGATTATACACACCCCATGCAATGGAGCCAGGACCTGAGTCCGTCTCTGACGGGAGGTCCCAAACCCCCCACAACCTCGTGACTCATGCTCCTGGTGTCAAAGCAATCCCTACCAGCATAGTCATCCTCAGAAGAGTAGCCAGATGAAGAGGCATAGGTATCATAAGTCTTGCTCTCTGCCAGCCCATTGATTTTACTGGAGTCTGTACCTCCTGTGCCTCTTCTCCTCCTCGTGGAGAGTTCCCCACCTGTCCAGGAAACACACAGTCCCCTTGAGAAACCAGCCAACAGCCTCCCATGTGCCTCCTGCCCAGGCACACAGAGGGACCAGTGGAGGGGACAGAATTCTGTAAGGTAGCAGGATTCACTGCTGGTGATTCAGGGTACGGACAGAGCCATCTTTAGTCACACACAGACTGTGTAGCTGCATAGGTTCACCCGGTGCCCCAAATTTAGTGGTGTCCTAAGGAGGGATGGATGTGACTAGTTGACTATCCGTAAGCATATGCTTATTGTATAGTCAACTAGTGACTCGACTAGTCACCTTCTCCCCACTTTGCTGCCTCTATCAGAGACAGGCAGAAAAGGGGGGGGGGGGGCTTAAAAGCCAGTTCCCCCAATTCCCACCAGCAATGTCTCCATGGGGGGGGGGAAAGGGAACAGAGTTGCAGCAGGGAACTGGCAGTGTTTCCACCTTTTAAATGTAGCAAAAGTCGGTCTTTTGCTACATTTCAAAAGCAGAAGTGCAGCAGGAACATAGAGCGAGCTGGGGACTCAAGCAGTCCCCCACTGCCCCTGTGCTCCCTGATTTTGAAATGTACAAGAGGCCCTTGTTCCACACTGGCCCTGTGCTCCCTGCCACACTTCTGCCTTTGAAATGTAACAAGAGCCCCTGTGCTCCCTGATTTTGAAATGTACAAGAGGCCCTTGTTCCACACTGGCCCTGTGCTCCCTGCCACACTTCTGCCTTTGAAATGTAACAAGAGCCTGCAGGGCTCTTGCAACATTTCAAAGACGAAGACACCCATATCGACTAATCGAATAGTCAATGTAAATTGCATCGACTATTCAATTAGTTGATTAATCTAAATTTAACATCCTTAGTCCTAGGCAGCTGCATATGTGAGACCTGGAGCATGGGACCAGTGGCAGCTGGGAACCCACATAAAATATGGGGGTGCTGCAGCATTCTCCAGTTCCTGAGCTTATGCTTTCTTGCACTTCCCCCAGCAGTCCCAAGTGCAGCCCCTATCCCGTGGAGTGGCCGTTCCTCTGTTTCCTCCCCACACTCACCTCGTCATAGGGCACCATAAACCACAAAGATGGCCCTGGGTGTGGATGTGCCCAATTACCCTCCCAGCACTAGTGGGACCTACCTCTATGAACTTACTGGGGTTTTCAGCAACCCCAGTACCTCCTACCCTGACAACTGAACTGGATTGATCCTGGTGCCCTCTCACGACTGACTGAGTAGAGCAACAGTCTTCCCCTGTGGGGCTGCTCCTTCACTCAGGGCTGCTCCGTGGCCGGGGGAAGGGATGTTTATGGAGTGTGCATGGCTTTCTGACCACTGACTCAAGTCAGCAACCTGCACAGCCCAGGGTAAAGAAGCTCAGAAGACTCAATTCCCTGTTCATGCACCCCTGCTTCCAGCAAAGAGGGCACCTGCTAAGGCAGGTCTGGAGTTCCACTGGCGAAGCAGTTTGGAGACCAAGCCCAAGATTCAGGTAATTTATTCTTCTTCCACATCCAAGAGGGTGGAGAGGCAGAGACGCTGCAAGGAGAGGAGATGGGGTCTCACTGCTGACAGGACAGGATATAGCTGCCACCGACGGGAGACATTACTCACCCCAGTAAGAGTCACTGTCCAGTGGGTCATCAAAGGCTGCGCTGCTCCCAGCTGCAAGACCCCGGCCACTACCCAGGTACGATTCACTGATCACAGACTCGCTGTAGTAGGAGGTCTGGGTGGCAGGGTTAGGTCCCAGATGGGAGGCTGGAGAGAGGCGCTTCATGCTGCTTGATTTCCTCCGTAGGGTCCTGCCCGAAGCAAGGAAACGAGCGAGAGATCAAATGCTGCAGGCAGGCGTGCAGGGTGACGTGGGGGAAGCGGGGAGGGGCAAGCCAGAGCCAACCAGCCTTCTGCTCAGGTTTTACATGGCCCAGGGCCCTGCCTGCTCTCCTCTCTCTCATACTACTGCTAAAGTCATTGGAGTGAAACACTGCTGCCACCTATCCTTGCAAAATAAGAGTCTGGTTGAGGGCAGTCCCCTGCCCCCTCCCTACAAACACACACCAGGCCTATCACAGGCACTTCCCTGCCACCATTTAGAGAACACCCTGCCTGCTACCCCCATTTCTCCTTCCGGTCTGCTTCCTCTCTAGCTACTGTGGTTTTCCTGGAAGGTGTCTGTGACAAGGAGAGGTTGCAGGGTTGGGGAGGATGCTCTGACGACAACCCATAACCCATACGGCGGGGGCCTCCCAACGCAGGCTTGACAACTTCACTGTTGGTGTTATCGGCACTGGTGATGTGAACAGGTGGCTCCTACGCCCCAGTCTGTAATTAGTGCAGCCCTTCCCCCCCCCGGTGATACAAGAGTAAGGGCAGTGGCCAGGAAATGCATAAGCAGCAGAAGCGCTGTGCTCCTACAGGGGTGGAATAAGGTGAAAGATGATTGGGTAACCCCCCTGGTGTGCTCCACAGAGTCAGCTGCACGAGTGTGCAACACGGAAATCCGGCTGGTGAAACCAGGAAAGTAGCAGTAGCTTTTCTCTGATGCTTCTTTCACCACGAGTGGATGCAGTGCCGTGGGTGGAGCCGAACTTCCCTGACCAGTCAAGGAAAATTGCAGAGACCCTCACCTCCTACAGAATGGGGTAAGGAGCTCTGGACAGACTCCCAATGACCCCTGACCTGGCTTGGGGTCCAGGAGAGAAAATTCATGCCATGGTGGGCTCTGGCCAAATCTCGCAGCCCCACTGCAGATACCGGTGTGGTATACAGGTTCCCCCTGACCCCGACCCTAGTTACCTGTTAGGACTGTCCCTAAAGGAGGACTCCTGAACACCCAGTAGCAAACTGCCACCACTGCTGCTGCCATCATCATCACCCTGGTAATAGCGGGTGGCCCCTAGGCGCTGGCTGCGTCTGGACATGACGGAAGAGATTCAGTCACCCCTCACCAAGGCACCTGGGAGAGCAACAGAAAAAGAAGGAGGAGCATGAGAACTTGGAGGTAACAGGCTGCTGAGCAGGGACTAGACTCAGGAACGTGCACACTGTTATGTGGGAGAGGGAGGGATGGCCGGCAGTGGAGCTGAGAAGGGAAAGGGCCCTAGGAGATGCTCAGAATGCAGAGATGCAATTCCTACTCACCCACCTCACTCCCTGAGTTGTCACTGGAATTTGGGCAACACAATCCCTGAGCCCCCAAGAGCCATGGGAACAGGCAATGCCTGAAAGGCAGCACCTCAGAGCAGACTGGGTTGATGGTGGAATAGAGTGAGTGTTGCAGCAGGATTATTACATCGGCTTTTCCCCCTGCAGACGTGGCTTCAAATTCAGCCTCATGCCAAGCGTGAGGAGAGTTCAGTGGATCTTAGCCAGACACTTCTCCCCAGCACCCAACAGTTCACCATGACTGAGCAGTCTCTGCTCAGCCAAAGCCAAGCTAACTTAGCAAGGAATGCCATAGGTCAGGACCAAGATGCACTAGCAGAGTTAGGAGGTCAGGGGGGCATCAGTATTGTAACTCGGACCAGTAACTGGCCCAGTGCGGCACCTGCAGCTGTGGCCTTCCCCATACCCTCCATTGCCAGTGCCCCAGGCTGCCACAACAAATGAGCTCAGTTTCTACAAAAGCTAGCAGGCAGACACCAGCCTATTTCTTCCAGCATGACACGAGCCAAATAACTTGGCTCTCCCTGGAACTAGAGGTCTCGTGGACATACAAAAAGAACACATGTCCTGCAAAAAGTAGCCCACTTCAGCAAAGCTCCATGCATGGAAGTGCCTGCCTGGCATCTGTCTCTATATAGCTGCCTTCCCACAGCACACCGGCCAAAACGTGACACAGCCATAGACTCAGATACTTGGCCCAAATCCACCACAACGTTCCACCCTTTTCAGGGCTGCACATTTGCCCCTTGAATTTCTTCCCTCTAAGAATCCACCCCCAAGGGCACAAGTCCCTCACATTACCCACTGGCTTGCTTGGGGAGACTGAGAGGAAAGCTGGGTTAAACTGAACAAAGTACGGTAACAACTTTCATTCCCACCTTGTGACCTGGCAAAATGCCACAAGATGCTTCCATATCTGGCTCCTTCCCGCCCCCGCCCTGGCAACTCCTACTCTAGGGACCCATCCTGCCCAGACTCTTTCCAGGCCTTGCCAGAGCTCAAACATTTCTGTGCCGGCCGCCTCCTGCCCTCACTTCACAGCCTGCCCCAGCCTGCTCCTTTCCAGATACATGGGGACAGAGAACTTATCACCCCTCCAGCAGTAGCACAGGGTGCATTGGCAGCCACACTCAGCGCTGGGCTAACGCCAGGGATGCCTGCTGACTTACCCGCGTGGGACAGATACACTGGGCCCCTTGTCAAAGCGAACACTTGGCAGAAACGGCCCTTGCTTAACTCCTGCTTCCTGGGTGCGCAGCCAGCACCAGCGCAGGGAGACGGAGACGGACTCTGCTCCGGCTGGGGCAGGAGCTGCAGCCTCCCCAGCTGGGCGCCAGATGCAGCCCCGCTCGGGCTGGCTGTGGGGAGCAGAGCGCGTCTCAGCGCTGGGACTTGCAAACAGGGAAGAGTAAATAGGGAACCCCCGGCTGCTGTTTCCTCTCAGTGTCTCCCCCAGTCCCCGCGCCCCGGGACATCCCCTCCGGCCGCCCCCCCTCCAGCGGTGCGCTCCCCGGCTGGCAAGGTACCATGCCCCGATGCCCGGCCTCCCGCTGGGGCGCGGGGGGCAGTGTCACCTGGCTGCGGCGCCCTCCAGGCCGTCGCTCCTTCCTCCGCCTTTTGTGTCTCAAGCGGGGCGGCGCCGAGCCCCGCTCAGCTCCGGGCTCGCGTCCCCTCGGCTCCCCGCCCAGCAGGGGCGCAGCAGCAGCAGCAGCAGCGGCGGGCGCGCGGGGAGCGGCTGCCTCGGCTCTCAGCGCGCGACACGGCCTGGCCCGGGCGCTGGCACAGCCACGCGCTGTAGCCGCCGGGCTGGGGCTGCCACTCACCCGCCGCCCGCCGCCCCCATTGGGTGGTTCGAACACAAAGGCCCCGGCTGGGTCCCGCCTTCTCGCCGCCTGGCTCCATTGGCCCGGGTGGCGGGAAGCCCCAGCGCTCAGCGCTCGGCCCTGGGGTGGGGCATTAGCCTGCGGGCTCCGTGCAAGCAGGGGGCGCGGCGCGGCACAGCTCGCAGGGGGAAAGCCCAGCGCCAGGGGCGGGCGGGCTAGGCGACCGCTAATCGGCCCCCGGAACTCTGGGAAGGCCGCGGCACCCTGGCTTGAATCCAAATGACCGTGACTCTGAATCAAAAGATTTCCTGCCGTAGCCAGGGACCAGCTGTCCCCCATCCCGGCCTGACAGTGGCTTCTTGGTTTTCCTGTGCAGGCTGCACTGGAACGCAGAAGACTGTAACCCCAGCTCCCCTACTAGGACAAATAATAGCAAAAGCAAAGGAACAGCATCTGCCTCTCCCCAAGACTAAGTAACAATAGCCCGAATTTGCCAGCTCTCCTGATTGCATTGTGAGCCTTGCTCTGTTGGGGGAGGGGGAGGAGTTGTAAAGCCCCAGCTCCTGGAGTCCTGTGATGATGTGAAACTCGGTTTTCTTTTTTTTTTTCCAATGGAAGTGTGGTTATGGTCTTTGTTAGAGTGATAAGCCTGAAAATGCTCAAAAGCAAACAGATGCTGAGAGTGCAAGTATTTTGAGGGGAAGGTGCAAGAACGATGTTTTTCTATTTGTACAGCACTTCGCTCTGTGGGGTTCAGGTCCATATATCTGTCTAGGATATTTATATGGCTCCATTACCAGTATCTGAAGTCTCTCAGTCATTTTAATTTCTGTTTCATCCAGTTTCCCCTGGGGGAGCTGCCTCAACCATCCTATGAATGGAACCCACAGGTCCCAGGAGAATACCAGGGAGCCTGGCACAGAGTGGCAGAAGGAGTAAGCCCCCTACCCTCATCACAGCAGTGATAGCTGGAGTGACCTGGCAGCCTGCTCCCTGCTGCCCATCTCCCAGCTTGCTGCACTCAGGGAGAAGGACAGTGGAGAGGAGCAGGTTGCTGGGTTGCCCCAGCTCCACTGATATCCCATGCCAGGCCTCCCAGTAATTCCCAGCCCACATTGCTTGGGGGAGGGGGATTTTGGGCAAGCGATGTAATGGGGTCGGGGGAGTGGGGTAGGGGCAGGACTTAGGGAAGGGGCTGAGTACGGGCAGGGCCTGCAGTTGGGGGGGGGAGTTGCGCCAGGCCCCACTAAGGATAGCGCTGAAGCAAATACTTTGTACAAATGGGAAACAGAGGCACATAGAGGCTAAGTGACTTTCCCATGGTCACACAGGAAGTCTGTGGAAGAGATTGGAGGTATTATAGCAATACAAGTAATAATAAAATAAATTTAAAAGATTCACAATTATATTTAATCCCATGATTTTTCAGTTAAGTAATGATTTTGGGGCCCTGACTCATGATTTTTGAACATGCGGTGTTAGCCATGTTGTACACACAGAACAGAAGCTTCCACTTTTCACATAATTTCCCACCACACCACGTAAAACAGAACTTCAGCTCTACTTTGCATTCAACAATAGCAGTAGTCCATGGATACCAACCCATTTATGTGACAAGGGTATTGATTTTTATCATTCTAATTCTAATCTACATCAGTTAACAAAGATCAAGTTTTTAAGCTCCCAGCACTTGTGTGTTACACCTTATTACAACACATGTCCGACTTTGCCAACACCCAGTTTTAAAAGGGCTTAGGGATCACAAAGGCTTTGTCAAAGTGAGATTCTATGGCACCTATAGCACTAAAAGAATCACAGCACGGTACAAAATACAGTGAAGACTGCATTAAACAATCCATTCCCAAAAGGCAACACCTTGGATTAAGCAACTATTTTATGATCCCCCCCAAGTTTTCCAATACAGTTTGGTTCAACTTATTATTAGTGAACCAATTCTACCAGGCAGACGAGTTTTCCTGCTCTCTTTGCAGATTGCTTAAGACTTTTTTGTTCACAATGTAGCAAAAAAAAAAAAAAACCAACCAACAACACTGTTTGGAATTATAGCCCCTTGAGGTGGGGAATGGTAGTTGGGCTGTATGCATGTGGCCAAAATTTCCTGGTACCAAAGACATTGGAGCAACAACATGCTCTTAAAAGAGTACCAGGAAATTTTGGCCAAAGACATTGGAGCAACAACATGCTCTTAAAAGAGTAACGAGACCTTTCATGTCTATGCAAGAGCTACAGGGGACTTTGAAAACATTGGCAAAGTAGGACATTTTGTTTAAAAAGCAACACACTGATTATTTCCAAACATGACAAAAGAGCTCTCTAGAGTGTTACAAAGCTTTGAGACGGAAGATAAGAATCACACTGCACATTGGAGACCTCCAATGAATCTTTTAGCAGAACAGGAAGAAACAGCCTTGACAGTAACAGTAGCTTAAACTAGTATTAATAACCAAGCAGGGATGGGGGTAACACCTTTTGAGCCTTTTGCGTTTATCACAAAATAGGGAACAAACCCATTTTTCCACCTTCCATCTCGCCTTTCAGTCTCAAGACTGCCTGAAATATGTAAATAGGATGACAGGAAGTGATGTCAGCTATAGCAATTTCTCTTAGACTTGACTGCCAATTTTCAGGAAGAAAATGAAGGTGGCTGTACAGCATCCAAAGGGGCTTGGGAAAGGAATATCACTTTCATTCATAGCCAAGACACAAGCAGACAATTCACCATTAAACCACAGATCCAAAATGTAGCATGAAACAAATTTCCTCTACCGTAAAAATAATAGACTCTATATCTGCTTTGTCTTTCTAGTCTTTTTTCTTTCTTCTGATTCAGTCGCTTTTCTACAGGCTCATAGAAGAATCCATTCTCCTCCAACTAATTTCTATAGTTTTCACCTTTTTCTAATGTTTCCATTGATTTCTCCCCTAAGATCCTTCCTCTTTCTTAATAATTTTGTTTTATGATTTTACTTTCTTCTCTCATATAAGCCCCTATTCTGCAAAGTATTTAAATACAGTGGAATGTCTTGTATGCATCTGTGCTTTGCTGGATCAGAGTCAGTTCAGTCTGACCACAATTCATCCTTGAGAACTCTGCTACTTAGATTCCTTTGGAAACCCCAAGGTCCCAGACTTGGAATCTCTGTTTTCAGGAATTCCAAGGGCAGGGGAACAGCTGGTGATCTCTAGTTCTCCACTTTTGTGTCTGGACAGTTTCTCCTTCTGATATTGTACTCTCTCTAATAGGTGGTGGTGGAGAGGAACGCATGAGTTAATTCCACTCCTACTAAGCACCTCTGATGGCCTGGACACTTTAGGAGTTCCCACATCCTAAGGTTGTGGTGCTGCTGCTGCTGCTTTCAGGAATCTGAATGTGCTGGGAACAGTTTATATGTAATGAAATATCAGAGAGAGACAACCAAATTCAGCCCCGGTGTAAATAGGCTCATTCTCACTAACTCCAAATCCTTCTCACTAGTCAGGTGGTGCCTTCATAGCCAGTGTTGGTTACAATATCTCCTGCAGCTGTAGAAATCAATCATGCCCAAA